TGCCTGTGAAAGGTAGTGGTCGTTTAAACTTTAAAGGGTGATGATGGCCTTGAGATATCATCATTGAGCTGACCGGCTCTCGGCAATTCAGAAAAAAATCGGTTTTACAACTCTTTACTCGTCGAGCTTTATCATCTGGATTCGAACATGGGCCTGTATTTCAACAGCTCATCGGTGTGTACCCGCTGAGCTAGGTGATTGGGTACAGTTAAACCCAAGCGCCTAGCTCAGTGGGTTTGCAATCTTTTCCAGAGGTCAATGGTGGTGTTTATTTTGCAGATTCGGGCGGACTCTTTTCTACGCTGTCAGAGTCCTACTCCTCCGTAAACTCAGACTAGGACGATCCCGATAAAAGATTGTCTTGAAAGTTGAAATATTATATATCACACTGTTTAATTGTCCAATGAAACTGCCCATCCAACCAAATGAAAAGCAATCCACTTTCCTTTGGGAAAATATGTACGCCATGACCCTCAATGTCACTTTTATTTGTGTCACAACCTATGTGTCCCCCGTGGTCGCGACTGCGGGGTCGACCCCGGCAGGCGGTGGGGATCCGAGGACCGCCATGGTTGGGTTACGGCTGCGGGCCTTCGGGAATTTTTCCCTGCCGAATAAAAACTTGGGGGAGGGGGGGGACGGGGCAGGGGAGGGAGGAAATGGGGTTGTAGGGTTTCTCGAACCCTGCAACCCCATTTTTTCCCCCCAAACCGTTGATTTTTTGGTATTTTAAAAAGTAATAAACGAAACTGTAAGAAACAGGATAAAAATGTTTCCTCGTTGGAGGCTTGAGCACGGATGTGGCTGCTACCGGGTTTCCCATATAGCAATATAATGACAATAGAAAAGTGATGTGATGTGATGTCGAATACAAGACTCGAACACACAACCAACGGCTTGGCAGGCTAACACCTAACCATAAGGCTAAGTGGGTTGGGCTTAAAAAATTAGCCTTAAAAAATATATAAATAAAAAAATGGGTGTGTGTGTGTGAATGTGTGTGTGTGTGTGTGTTGGGAAGGGGAGGGCGGCCCTCCTCCACCAATCAATCAATCAATCAATCAATCAATCGATCAATTGAAAAAAAAGGAGAAGTGAAAAAGAAAAGTGCGAGTGTGTGTGTGTGTGTGTGTGTGTGTGAGATGGTAGGAAGGGGGGGTGACCTCTCCCCAACCAATCAATCGGTCAATTAATCAATCAATCAAGACTTCTTTTATATTATTTTTCAATTATTTTTTACACCCAGAAATCCCCCCCCCGCCTGGCACCCCCAGCGCATGCAAAGTCTGCGACCGCGCGGTCATGACCTCAACCGCACTCGGCTGCCGCCGCGGGGGACTCACCGGTCGCAACTCCTACGACTGCCCACTTTCCTCCGATGCCCCTGGGGCCTGGAATCTTTTCACCAGCTCTTTGTCAGAAGTGAGGGCAACTTTCCTTCGTGCGTGTCCTGGACGGTAGCCCCTTTGTGTTGGTCTCTTTGCCTCAATGCCCTCATCCTACAAGGCAATCATTTTGTCATGCCCACCCAGGGCCTTCGCCACAATGTCCTCATCCTACAAGGGAATTATTTTGTCGTGCCCACCCAGCGTTGAGGCGATTGAACAAGGGGAGGGCGGGGGTGGGGGGGGGGGCACACACACACACACACAAAGAGACAAAGAGGGCACAAAAGAAAGAAAGAGAGATATATAGAGATAGAGAG